TGTCTCCATCAGATCGGCTCGAAGCTATATCACCGGTATATTTCGAGTGAAAAATTTTACTGCGCAAACTTTCTTCTGCAGGCCTATTCGCTGGTGCGTTACCTACAGTCGAAACTGGCATCGGTTGCAAAGGCTTCCCAAATGCAGTAGTAGAATTATTAGTGTTGTCGACAGAAGGAACATTACAGTCAATCTTAACTGCACTTTTATCACTTAAAGTTTTTCCAATAATTTCAAAGGGTTTCAATTCAGAACTTTTGAAACCTGGATTATCAAGCAGTTTGGGAACCTGCTCGTCAGCTATATCAACAGTAGTTTTCGACGGTTTCGAGTCGTTTCTTTGTAATACTTCTCGTTGTAAAACATTTTCTCCTTCAACGCCAACAACAGTGGCTTTCTTTGCTTTGTCATTTCGCTTAATATCATGAACTTCGGGCTCATTTTCTCCAGGCAGATACGGAAGCGTTAAACCATTCCACTGATTATAACTTTTATAGGCAATTGGATCCGACGTGCACCGACGTAAGTTTGCCAATAATTGAGTGTTCCTGCGTCTTGAAACATAGTTCTTATACTTCCTCTTTCGAGGTATGACAATTATTGGTGCCCCTCGCCGGGGCATTTTGTTCCTTGAATTGAAAAAATGCGGCAAAATGCCGTTAGAATTTTTGGAAGGCACTTTGTTGACCAAAAATCCTGATTTATTATCTATTTGTTGTTTAGGAGATATATGAAGTAAGGGAGAGGGGACAATAGTTGCAAATTGCGGTATTTTATGTGAGAAATAATGCCGTATAAGAGGTAAATGATAAACAGCTGGAGATGGTGATACCGGTGAACACGAGCCCAAAGAAGGCCGCCTCGAAGACAATGATGTTTGACGAGAATCTGTTACAGAAAGGTCTGGAATTTTATATAAAAAGCAGTTTAATGCAGGAATATCAGAATTAAAAGGACTCCACTTAGAGTGGACCGGTAAAGATTGGAAGGATGAAATTCTGGACGTCTTGAGGAATAATTGAAGAATACAAATTCAGCTATATTGGCAATATTTGATATAAATTTTGCAAATCGTCCTCTAGCGGCAGCAATTGTTGAGAAGAAGAATACTTATAGAATATTGTGATAAAGACAGAAAATATAGAACGGTCGAGAGTGAATCGAACATGACAGCCGCGCCTGCCGGCTGCCTGCTTCACTGCTGCAGATACAGCCACTGCAATCTGCTATTGCTGCTGTTGCTGCTGACGCCCACAAAAGAAACATCCCGAGGCGCTGTATATTGCCTTATGTCTACCTCAATATTACAGCCAGCCAGTTGGCAGCTATCCTCCCTAGCTGTTATCTTTTCGCCCAGCTATATACAACAGAAATACCACTACACACAAAATCACATAAAACCTTAAACGCCATTTCAACGTTTTCAAGAATGTTCTCAAAGTACAACAGCAAATCACTAGAAAAACTGTTTCGCATACGGCAAACATCAAAGTTTTCAATTATCAATAACAAGTGAAATAAAAAACTTTTTAGTCTTTCAAAAAATGGCTAGTTTTTTTTAAGGGGGGGGAGGGGGGAAATATCATTTCAAACAAAACCTTTTTTATTCCCCTTCTTTACTGCAATGGAACTGTACTGGAAAGCTTCAGTAACTAAATGTTGATAGTATAGTAACGGATATCCACAGCACCTTAATAGAAAAATAAAAAATAAGAAAAAAAAGTGCAAAATTAGAACAAAAAGTGAAGTAAAAATTATTATTATCGGGCGTCACTGAACACTGGAGTTATGACCCTTCAAAAATCCTAAGCAATTTCAAAAAAACCCTCCTTATTAAAGTGAAAGGATTTTACTTCTAACAACAAAATCTACTGGACCCAATCGAAAGCCCAAAATAAGCTTATTCAAAAAACAGTAATTTAATAACCAGACAGTATTTTTCTTCGCTAACTTACTCGATTCTCCGGAAAACTTTTAGGTGAAGCTATTTTGAGGAATCAATTTGCATAACTAGTCCTTCCAAAATGAAACTAAATAATATTTGTAAAAAATTTTTAACCCGTACCTATAAATGAACAATTATTAACATCAGAATGAAACCACTGAAAACTTGCAGACGATAGGATGATAGGATTAGCCATTTTAAACCCAAGATGAATAAGGCTGCCTTCATGAAGAGCACAAATGTTATACTGTAGGAAATAA